GTGGGAGTGTTCCAAGAAAAAATCCACAACCATCAAGGAAAAATCAGAGGGATGGTGGAAGGAATATAGTATCTCTTGTCCAGTTGAAGCATCCATTCCAAGGGACAATGATCGTGCTTATGATCCTCCAGAGGGTTGCCTCGCTTTGAATTCGACCATTCTTCATGTCGGGTTAAGGCTAACATTTCTTCACATTACCTGGAAGTTCCTATCCTCGTGAGGAATCATCCTTGTGCAACTTTGTCCAAACGGGTCGAGGTCCTTGTGTGCTTGCATGCTACTTTGGCACAAGTTTTCTGTGGACTAGTTTAGTTTCTTGTATATTTTTAAGGAGGAGAACGAGGATTCAAGGTGATATTATACCCATTGTTTAGGCTAGGACAGGATGGTCTAGTGTTGGGTGTTATTTCTTCTTTGAAGAGCTGGAAAGACAACTTCTTTTACATAAGGTGGGATTGGTAGTTTAATTCGACTGAGGTGAAGGGAATGACGTTTTTCCAATTTGGTATCGTAAAATTTGTAAGTGTAGTGTATTTAGCCCCCATATGGCTCCCATTCTTTCTAAATTTTAATGGTTGGAATAGTGTTTTTTTAAAAATGTGTGATTGAAAAAGAATGAAAAGTTTTTGATTTGCGTGTAATATTATTTTATGAAAAATTGTGTGGTTAACTGCTGGCATGACATTTCAGATTTTTTCCCTTTTTTCTTATGTTTGACAGTTTACCGTCCTTGCAATATTATTATGAGCACGAGGTAGGTAGCTAGGGCTGCTAAAGAGCCTGTCCATAGAATTTCTGTTTTAAATTTTTTCTTTTTTGCAAAGTGTTGCAACACTTGTAACATTAACTCAGATTACTGAGGACCAGGTCTTTGAAATTTCTATTTTAAAAAATTTTGCTAAGTGTTATAGTACTTGTAAATTAGCTAGGACTGTTGAAGAGTAGGTCCCTAGAAATTCTGTTTTAGAAAATTTTGCTATGTGTTGCAGTAATTGCAACATCAGCTCGAATTGCTGAAGTGGGTCCTTAGAAATTTTTGCTAAGTTACAGCACTTGCAACATCAACTAAGTCTACTAAAGAATATGTCCTTAGAATTTCTATTTTAAAAATTTTCGTTAAATGTTGCAGCACTTGCAAATTTGCTTGTGTCGGAGGAATTATAAATTTTAGAAATTTATTCAAATAGAGAAACATGATATTATATTTAACATTGTCTTTTAGACTATTGACAATACTTCTTAAGATGTTCTTCATTCCAGAGATGCAAAAGAGGGTGTCTTTGCATATCCTCTAGCTCGTATGAACTTTTTTGAGAGAATATTGACGACTTATAAGGTCCTTCCCAGTTAGGACCTAGTGATCCAGAGTTGAGTTCCTTAGTGGCTAGGAAAATCTTTCAGAATGCTAGGTTGTCGGCCTCAAATTCTCTCTTTTGCAATTTCTGGTTATAATATATTGTACTCCTTCGCTTATAAATTGTTGTTCTTAGCTCAGCTCCATTCCCCTTTTCTTCAAGTAAATCAAGTTCCAAGCGTGATGTTTCATTGTTGTTGATTTCACTGAAAAACGTAGTCCAAAATGAAGGGACTCCTACTTCGGAATTGCTCTTTCCACACCAAAAGCTAGAGAGAAATGTGTCTCTCCGATACTAGTTTGTGAGGTAATACGATAAGATCATAACACACTAGGGAGTTCTTCACCCAAGCTTTTTTAAGAGTTCAAGACGAGCTTTCAATGTATGTTTGATTATTTTGTTGATTGCCTCTACTTGTCCGTTGGTCTAAAGATGATTTGGGGTAGAAAAGTACTTCCTTATTTTGAGCTCTTCACGAAAGGTTTTTAGCTGTGTGTTATCGAACTGTTTTCCGTTGTTAGTAATGATCGAATATGGTATTCCAAACCTACAAATGATATATTTCCAAATAAAATCAATTGTCTTTTATTCAGTTATATTTGTAAGAGGTTCGGCTTCTTCTCACTTAGTTAACTAATCCACAGCAAGTATAGCGAACTTATTTCCATTCTTTCTGGTGGGAATTGGCCTAATTAGATCCATCACCGACTTGGAGAATAGCTATATACTAACAATAGAGGTAAACTTTTTGGGGGAGCCGGATTATAGGTGCGAGGTGCTGGTATTTGTCACATTTTTTTTTACGAACTCCAAGGTACTTCTCTTCATAGTAGGCTATAAGTATCCTCGTCTCAAAAATTTTGTGAGTTGATTATTTTCCTTTAGTATGATTGCTACAAACTCCTTTATGCACTTCTTGCAGAGTATGAAGAGCTTCCTTTTCATTCAGGAACCTCAATATTGGGTTGTATACTTTAATCTACCTTCATCACAGAATTTTTTGAAGGTTAATGGTCGAATAATATGATTACTCTTTCTCCTACGACTTTTCGATAGATGAATGATTGAAACTTTTTAAAATTTTAAAATTAAGTAATATCAATAACGAACTTTTTGTAGGTAATATATATTCCTCTTCTTTTAACAAATATCGGTTAGCGAAGAGATTGAGACTTTTAAAAAATAATAATAATAATAAATTACCCTTCAATTACAGATTGACAGTAGGTAAAAAATTTTCAATATGTAATATGAGTTATTCCCCACTTACAGAATAACCATTGGTGTAAACATTGAGACTTTAAAAAAAAAAAAAAATTAATTATCCTTCAACTAGGAATTCTTGGTAGTTGAATGGTTGATTTTTTATTTTTTTAATCATTAAAATTGATTAATATCAGCAACGGTTTTTTTCGAAGGTAATATGAGTTAGTTCCACTTACCGAATATCTGTAGGGGATGACATTAAAACGTTTTTGAAAAAAATTGATTACCCTCCAAATACAAATTTGTAGTAGCTGATTTTTTAAAATATTGATTTTTAAAATTAATTGATATCATAGACGGTATTTCGTAAGTAATATGAATTAATTTTCACCTACAAAATATTCATTGGTTAAGACATTGAATCTTCTTGAAATAATTGATTACCCTCCAATTTCAAATTTTCTGTTCTTGATTTTCTTAAAAAAAAAAAAATGAAATAGTTTTTAACAATTTGATTAATATCAACTTAGGTAATATGAATTAATCTTCATCTGCAAAATATTCATGGGTGAAGAGGTTGCGACTTTAAAAAAAAAAAAAAAATTGATTACCCTTCAATCAAGAATATTCAGTGGGTGAGTTATTTGAATTTTTTTTAATTATTAAAATTAGTTAATATCAGCAACCTATCTTCACCAATGAAAATTCCCTAGGTGAAAATCTGAAAGATTTTTTTTTTTTTAAATGATTTGCGTAAACTACGAATATTTCATAGGCAAAATATATTATTAATAAACGACTACACTAGATACGAAATATCCGTTGGTAATGAAATATTAGTTTTACCAACAAAAATTCCGTTGGTGATTACTGTAATTAAAACTCTGCCCCGGTTTGTGCCCCATTTTTACCTCATTAAAATAAAAAATATGAACGTTATCCATCACATCAAGCCACCATTTTTGAATTTCTATCTCTAGTGTGGGGCCCATAACGGCTCTATTTCTCATTCTCATTATAATGTGGCTCAAACGGGCTCTCTGTTACTTTTATCAACAGGCCAATGGATGCAAGCTGATATTTAGGCCCTGTTTGAGTCCTATTATTTTTTCATTAAAATGAAAAATATAACTGTTATCCATCACATCAAATCATCATATTTGATTTCTTATCTCCTGTGTGAGGCCCATAACGACTATATTTTTCATTCTCATTTTTACAATAATATGGCTCAATCGGGGTCTTAGTAGTGAAAGTGGGGGGAAGACCTTCTTTGACTTTGATCTCTTGCTTTGTTTTGCTTTTGCTTAGTAGACTACTACATGACTTGCTACATAGGTCAAGGCATAACATGAATTATAGAAAACTGTACACCAGACAAGTTCCGATAATATCTAATCCTCCTCACAAAAATGTGCTAGAGGAATACTCGATAAATTGAATTAACGACGTTCAAATTTTAAAAAACAAAGTACACAATAATAGACCGCCCAAGTAGCAAAGATTGAGATAACGTTGAAACCCATACTTGATAGGTTTGTATTATTGGCTCGCTCTTTTAGTCCATGTTTGGTGGCCATTATTAAAAAAAATTAAAAATAAAAAAATTTTTGAATAGTTTTTTAGAAGATGTGTCATTAAAAGGTAAGGAAAAAGTTTTGAGTTTACGTGTAAAATATTTTATTGTGTGAATGTGTGGTAAAAAATGATTACGTAGAAAAAAGAATTTGAAAAGAATAAAAATCAAATAGGAGCTTATTATCGTGTGCATCCCCGTGCATAGCACAACTTGTAGCCGTCTTCCACGTGTTTGGAACGAAATTACCCGTGATCTCGTGTGTTTGCCATATGGTATTTATTGGGTTAAAATATGGAATAATATGATTAGAAGGGAAGAAATTTCGACAGCTTCAATGTCAAATGTAGTACAAAGTTTTGGTGACTTTCGTTGTCACACACTTAGAAACGCTAAATTGAAAAGATGTTTGTTTATAGTATTTTATTGAATCAAATATTTAATTTTTGATTGGTGGGGATTAAAATAAGATTTTTAGAAAATTTCGATAGTGATAAGTGTTGGAATTAATTGAATTTGATTTGGGTTTAAAATATTAAATGTAATATTTAATGATATGGGTCATTGCAATTAATTTGAGTGAATTGGAAAAGTCTCCAATATAGGCCCATATGTTGATAAGCCCATTTTAAGTGGTTTTTATATGGAAAGGAGTCCCACATCGAAAGTGTACAAGAAAATAGTCTTGTTTATATAGTGGGTTGTGTAAATAATATATAATTTAATATGTTACCTACCACTTGGCTAACTTTAGCTAGCCAAAGGCTAGCAAACTAGCCAAAGGCTAGTCACCACCGGACCCGGACCCGGACCCGGTCCCGGTCCCGGCACGCGCATGTCGCAAAGTACTCATTCGGCGCGAGGAGCTGGGGAGCCTTATAGTTTTCGGAAATGGACTCGTGGTTCGATGACGTGGCAGCACAAGGCTCGATGAGTTGGCATTCTAGGTGGCGCACGAGTGGTAGGTCGCGTCCCTTCGTCCTGCATGGCGGTTAGGTGTACGCGTGGCATCCGTATGGCTGTGACTATTCAGAAATTGATGAATAGGCATGATGAATGGACACTTCACTTCATGGTTCAATCTGAGCCGTCAGATCATAAAAATAGTGCGATCCAATGGCTAAGACGAATCTAATTTTTTAATAAAACGTCAATTAGCTGAAGGCTAATTAACAATTGTTCCCCAAGGTCAAGATTTTTCACCCTACTCGATAAAATTATGGCTTTTATCACAAGTGGCGTTATTTTGAGATCTGAATATCAATTGGTAAGTTGTTCCTAGGATATAGCTCAAAAACGTTGATTTGACAGGTCATGATCAAAATCATGTGATGGATAGTTACAAAACAGGTGGTGGGTTTTTACGAGCAGTTACTAAAAATTTGAATAATGGCTTAATGAGGAAGTTGCTTTTTGAGTGGAGACTCTTGGCATTTCCCCTTTTTTGGGAATAAAACAGGTTGAAGTTTGTCTACTTTTTTCTTTATGAAAAGAACTGAAAATACCTTGGTTCATCACCAATTATTAATTAATATTAGGGCTTTTTCTTCATTCTAGCTAATTATTTGAAAATCAATGCGATCGACCTGTCCGAGGTACTTTTTTCTTCCCATATTTTACCTTTTCAATTTTTCCTTTTCCTGATTTATATGAGTTTAGATGATTCTAGGGGTCGACTCTTAGGAAAATAACTAGGAAGAGGCTATAAATTTTTTTTTAGTCCCTTCTTCTAACTTTTCTCCTACTACCTTTTCTAGCTCTGAAGTTTGTAAAATAGCTATAGCCCATCTTGATAGTACTTATTCTCCTCCAATAGTGCCAACCCTATTAAGGACATGTTTGGGCGCACTTAAATTTTGAAATTAAGGAATTTTCTGACCGTTGATGAGTCCAACGACCACATTTCCACCAAATGGACTGACACACATGTCATGTACTTTTTTCCCTTTCTACCACCAGCATAAACACGCCAAACTAACCCACCTACCACAGTGTTATTATCTAAGCCATGTGAGAAATCAAAAAGCAAGACAAACTTTTTTGACACTCATTCACTGGACGAAGCTTCAGACACTGGTTGCTCTGAGACGGCACTGATATCTGCGACAATAGTTGGTGGACGGTGAGGAAATATTGACCCGGCAGCCCTAAGCCTAGCCACCCCACCCTTCTCCGACGACTGCAGTGGTGGGTTCATGGAGCTCCTGCACACATCTTCCACCCACAATCTCTCGTGAGTGGATTTACCTTCTTTGTCCATCGGTACAAGTAACGTCCTTTAACTTCCCAGCATCGTCTACCCCCCAATCACACTTTTGTAGTGACAGTCGTTGTCTTTGACGGGGGTACTTTTGCTCACAATTTCATCCAATAGATCCCCACTCTTGTGCTATATCTCTGGTAAGCATCTATTTCTTCGATCTCTACTCATGTTCCTTACACGTTCCTAGTATACATTTGTTTGGAGTTTTTATTTCACTCAGGGCTAGCATGCTTGTATCACATATTCAATTGAATCTGAACCTGATGAGGCTACCATTTACTCCGGCAAACAATGGTATAACATTTTAGATAAAAATCTGGTCAACGAAATTGCACTGAGATGGATCCTTTCGTTTCTCCGGTACGATTTTTTGAGTAGAACATAAATTGCAAGAGCTTTGAGCTTTTGCTGAAATGAATAACACTTTTTGCACCCAATTTGCAGCAACCAAATTATCATCCTCACTCCTCCACATCAAACGCCCAACAGGTTGACAGTCAATCAGGGCCTCGTAAGCATGAACAATGGACTGACTATGAGACGAACATTTTCGTCGCTGCCTATGAGACTGTAATCGTCGATGGACACTGAAATGGGAAGTGCTTCACCAATTACGGATGACAGACATTGGTTCACTTCTTTAACACCAACTCCGGGTACAATTGGAGCAAGCAACAGCTAAAAAATCGGTGGGATACTCTCCGCCTGAAATATAAGAGATTTGAAGAATTGATAAACAGCAGTGGCATCGTGTATGACACGTCTACTGGCTTGATTTGCGCCTCGATGGAGTGGTGGGATCGAAAGATTAAGGTACCATTGTTTCATGAACGTGTTTTGTCAAAATTTGGTTGAATACGCACTAGCTATAAAGAAACCAATATGCTTGACAAACATGTCGGTGGTAAGTCAAGACAAATAGTTTCAGCTTATTCAAGTTAGCTTAGACATAATTTGAAGTTTTCCTTCACTCATCAGAAATGTTATTGTAATTATTATTTTCTCTTTTATTTTCATATTTTTGTGTATGGATAACAATGATTTTCATTTTTGTTATTTTCTGAGTTTTATGCAATTGAAACTTTATTTTTAGAGTAATTTTTTTATGATTCTTTCACAATTTGTATTTCTTGCATTCAGTAAGGTTTGTGAATTGCATCTTTTAGGGATTAGGTACCTTCAATTTAGTGTCACAAGTTTCATATCCAGCATCGTACGTCCAATATGTTTTGTGTGTTGAAGTTGGTTTGTTCCTTTATGAGAAAAAGGAATTGATGGTTCCAACTTGAAATTTTTTT